AGCCTCTTTCAATCTATAGTTTCCCCCCTCCTCTTTTTCTTTTTTTAAATATATTTTATTGATTTTTCACAGAGAGGAAGGGAGAGAGATAGAGAGTAAGAAACACTGATGAGAGAGAGTCATCGATCAGCTGCCTCTTGCACACTCCCTACTGGGGATGTGCCCGCAACAAAGGCATATGCCCTTAACTGGAATCGAACCCGGGACCTTTCAGTCCGCAGGCCGACCCTCTATCCATTGAGCCAAACCGGTTTTGGCTCCCTGAGATCTATGAGCTGTTCTAACGCACGGTGGGATCTGCGGAGGGAGGTCACGGGGATCTCGAATGGTAGCCCAGTGGGACGGAAGTTGCGGGTGACCTGGGGACCGATTGGCCTCAGCAGTGGGGGGGCAGTGTCCTGGGACTGAGCCCTTCGCCTGTGGGGCCTGGGCTGACTCCTGTTCGTGCCGGAACCGAACCGGGGGACACCCACATGGTGTGGCAGGGAATCGCTTGGAGTGGGGGAAACACCCTCCAGCTGGCATCGGAAGAGCTGTGCGTGGGCAGCGGGTGATAAGAAAGGAGAAACCCACAGGAGGGTGTGTCTTTCCAACGCGCCACCACACACAGCCGCTCCTCCTCCTCCTGCACCCGCCGGGCCCCCGCAGGAATGCCCGCTTCCTGCGCCCGCCCGGCTCATGGAAAGTGATGTTATCTGACCGGGCATCATCGGAGCAGGTGGCACCGCCAGAGCAGCCTGGCAGGCGTGGCTCGCGCTCCCTGGCTACGCCCATCCTGTTCGGGTGTCTCCTCTGGGCCAGAGGTCACTGCTGAGGCCTGGAGCCATCTGCTCACGCCTTCGCCCACGTACGCGGGGCTGTGCTCTGGGCACAGAAAGTTAACTCAGGCCCCACGCTGGTCTCCCAGAGCTGGGGGGGGGGACGGGGGCTGGAGGAGGACGAGGAAGCAAGCCATGCCAGCCCTGGGCGGCAGGAATGTGCAGAGAGGAGGGTCTAGCCCAGACCAAAGAGGGAGGTTCCAGAAGGCTTCCTTTACGTTGGCCACAAACCACGAGTGGCTTTTAAATTTAAAAAAAAAAAATTTTTTTAAACTATATTTTATTGATTTTTTACAGAGAGGAAGGGAGAGGGATAAAAAGTTAGAAACATGGATGAGAGAGAAACATTGATCAGCTGCCTCCTGCACACCCCCTACTGGGGATGTGCCCGTAACCAAGGTACATGCCATTGACTGGAATCGAACCTGGGACCCTTCAGTCTGCAGGCCGACGCTCTATCCACTGAGCTAACCTGGTTTCGGCCTTAAATTTTAAATGAACTAAAATGAAATAATGGCCCTAAGGCCAATCTGCAGGCTGACGCTCTATCCACTGAGCAGTGGTTCTCAAGCTTTCTAATGTCGAAACCCTTTAATACAGTTCCTCATATTGTGGTGACCCCGACCATAAAATTATTTTCCTTGCTACTTCATAACTGCAATTTTGCTACTATTATGAGTCGTAAAGTAAATATCTGTGTTTTCCGATGGTCTTAGGCGACCCTGGTAGCGGTTCTCAACCTGTGGGTTGAGCCTAAGACCATCGGAAAACACAGATTTTTAAAAAATATATATTTTATTGATTTTTTACAGAGAGGAAGGGAGAGAGATAGAGAGCTAGAAACGTCGATGATGTGCCCGGAGATGTGCCCGCAACCAACATACATGCCTTTGCCCGGAATCGAACCTGGGACCTTTCAGTCCGCAGACCGACGCTCTATCCACTGAGCCAAACCGGCTTCGGCAGAAAACCCAGATATTTTCATTACAATTCATAACAGTAGCAAAATTGCAGTTATGAAGTAGCCACAAAAATAATGTTATTGCTGGAGGTCACCACAGCATGAGGAGCTGCATTAAAGGGCTGCAGCAGCCTTCCTTTCACTGCTGATAGCGCTTGCAAACATGGTGAACGTTCCTAAAACCCGCCGAACTTTCTGTAAGAAGTGTGGCAAGCATCAACCCCACAAAGTAACACAGTACAAGAAGGGCAAGGATTCTCTGTATGCGCAGGGAAAGCGGCGTTATGACAAGAAGCAAAGTGGCTATGGTGGGCAGACTAAGCCTATTTTCCGAAAAAAGGCTAAAACTACAAAGAAGATTGTGCTGAGGCTTGAATGCGTTGAGCCTAACTGCAGATCTAAGAGAATGCTGGCTATTAAGAGATGCAAGCATTTTGAACTGGGAGGAGATAAGAAGAGAAAGGGTCAAGTGATCCAGTTCTAGAGCGTCATATTTTGTTTTATTAGATGACAATAAAATCATGATATATTAACTTCAAAAAAAAAAAAAAGGGCTGCAGCATTAGGAAGGTTGAGCACCACGGACTAAGGCATGGTATACATTTTTAAAAACTATTTTTTGAAGAGCAGTTTCAGGCTCCCAGAAAAAAAGAAAAAAAAAGAAGAAAAAAAAAGATTTGTCTTGTCTAGACTTTCAGAGAAACAGAAACCAGCCTTTCCTTCCTTCGTCCTCTGCCTTCCAGCTAATTCTACTCAAAGAGAAAGGGAAGGTGGCTGAGGCGGCAGGAAAGGAGGAGGGAAAGAAAGGGGGGGCCTTACGCAGGAAAGGGGAAGCACTGGTGTTTCCGAGAAGCTCGGCAGCTTTTGCTATCAGAGGATCAGGAGGGGTTTCCGCCTGCTGACCCTCTGGAGGCATTCCGAGCTCCCCACCTGGCCTCCTCCGGGGGTGTGACAGCCGCCCCCTCAGTCACCACCTTCTCCCAGGATCCCCAAGCCCCGGAGTGACAGTGGCTGCTGGGAGCTCCCCTGAAAAGCAGGGCATAGGCACCCAGATCCTCAGCCTATGCCCTTCCTGCCGAGATCATGGATGGACTTTATCGCCAAGACCCGCGTGGGTTAGCGGGGGAGCCACATATCCGTGTTTGACGGACACACTGATTTACTGCCGTGTTTCCCCGAAAATAAGACCTACTTACAGGTTTCCTCCTGAGTGAAATATAAGGCATCCCCCCGAAAATAAGCTCCCCCCCCCAAGCTAAACATGAGAGATTTGGTCCACTGATTCTGAAAGAAATGGAGTCACAAGAAATTCACCAGGAAATTCAGGAATTGGAGTGTTAGGATGATGTTCCAGAAGATGATGACATGATTGTCATGGAATAAATGAGTAAATTCTTGATACGGTAGGATTCATAGTTTGTCTGGTTTATGTTGACAACTGCCGTACTACCGTACCGTATACAGGTAATAAATTTCCTTTATTTTCATTTAACAATAAATGTGTACCGTGTTCTTCTTCATGGAAAAATAAGACATCCCCTGAAAATAAGACCTAGCCCATCTTTGGAAGCAAAAATTAATATAAGACAGTGGTCTTATTTTTGGGGAAACAGGGTAGATGTGACAAGACTGCCAAAGCAGGCGGGAAGGGGGCAGGAGAATGATGCTGGAAATGTACCACCGGGGAAAGGCCTGGGGTGACCTTTTATCAAGGACAAAATCCCAAAGAGGCCCTGCCTGTGAGTGAATGAGGTTGACCAGGTCCTAGGGAGTGGTGGGGATTGTGGCAAAAGGGCCTGTTTATTTTTATTTATTTTTTAATGTTTTTTTTTAATTGATTTCAGAGAGGAAGGGAGAGGGAGAGAGAAACAGAAACATCAATAATGACAGAGAATCATTGATCAGCTGCCTCCTGCAGGTCCCCTACGGGGGAACCAAGCTTGCAACGCAGGCATGTGCCCTTGGCGGAATCAAACCCTGAACCTTTCAGTTCACAGGCTGATTCTCTGACCACTGAGCCAAATTGGCTAGGGCAGGGCCTGTTTATTTTTATATTTAAAATATAGCTTATTGATTTTTTACAGAGAGGAAGGGAGAGGGATAGGGAGTTAGAAACATCGATGAGAGAGAAACATCAACCAGCTGCCTCCTGGGGGATGTGCCCAGCACATGCCCTTGGTTGGAGTCGAATCTGGAACCTTTCAGTCCGGAGACCGACGCTCTATCCACTGATCCAAACCGGTCAGGGCGCAAGAGCCTGGTTAAAGGGACAGCTCTCTCCACCGCAGCTCCTTGTCACTCTGTGGGCTTGGCGGCCCACGTAGCCAGAGCTCACCGTTTCCCGAGAGGCTGGAAATACAGGCTCCGAGGGGACAGCCCCGGCTTTCAGAGCACGTGGGCCACACCAAACTGGTTTCAGGACCAGCTATGGCTCACAGGGCCGTGTAGCTGACGCCTAAGCAGATGGAAGGAACTCACGCTGGCTTTTAGGTGGTGGTGGTGTGTGTGTGGGGGGGAGGGGGATGATAACATCTGCACTTCAGAAAAACCCCATTGCCGCATGGGAGAGGAATTACAGGGGCCGGACCAGAGGAGAGGAAGCCAGTTGGGAAATGCAACCCTTTCAATTGCTGGGCGGTGGCAGGGGTCCAGGCGAGGGGAGGCGAGGCAGGGGGGCGTGGAGAAGGCTGCTGTGCTGCTGGGGCGTCGGGGGGTTCAGGGGAAGGATTCTCTCTGCCTCTGGCACCCCGCAGGCTTTCCCTCACCAGCTCCTTCTCCTTCCCTAAGCTGGCAGCCCAGGCTCAGGGCAGAGATTATCTAAAGAAACCAAAGGGATGGAAATCTCAGCAGAGACTAATTTTATCCGCGATTGTTTTAGAGATTGCCTCTCTTGACCAACTGCCCCAGGCCTCATTCGTCCCCCACCAATGGGCTCAGCACGCAATTAAAATAATAATAATAAAAAAACATATATAGCGGAAACCGGTTTGGCTCAGTGGATAGAGCGTCGGCCTGCGGACTGAAGGGTCCCAGGTTCGATTCCGGCCAAGGGCATGTACCTTGGTTGCGGGCACACATCCCCAGTGGGGGGTGTGCAGGAGGCAGCTGGTCGATGTATTTCTCTCTCATCGATGTTTCTAGCCCTCTATCTCTTTCCCTTCCTCTCTGTGAAAAATCAATAAAGTATATTTAAATATATATAAAGACAAACAAAGAAAGAAATATATATATATCCCGGAGTTTGGTTCTGCGGAGCAGCCAGCGGGAAGCTCGGAGCCAAATCCTCTTTTGCAAACAGCAGAGGGGCCCCGGGGCTGCCGCGCAGGCTGCACCATGGAGACAGACCTATGAGCAGCGGCTGGGGCTCAGGTCACGGCCGGCCTCGCTGCTTGTGTAACGGGTCACTGGAGTCCAGGGAGGGAGGCCAAGGGCGGGAGGTGGCGAACGGAGGGGAGGAAGGCCCTCGCGCTTCAAAGCAAAGCGGTGGAGCCCAGCCCACGGGGTGGCGTTGACAGCTCCTTCCCTCCGCAGAGCGGACCCTTCTGGGCGGTGAGGGCTGGCTGCGTGCTCTGGGTGTGGGCACAGGAAATGGCTCGGGGCCTCTCTCTGCTGTCGCGCTGCGGGCGGGCAGCGCCCGGAGGAGGGCCCCCTGGGACGGGGGAGCAGCCGGGGGCAGCCAGGCAAAGGTTAGGGAGGGAAGCAGCGCCGGCCCCTGCGGCCAGCCGGGCCGGGCCGGGAGGGCTCCCTCCGGGAAATGTTTGTATTCCTGCTCCGGAGGGAGGGAGAGAGGGAGGACAAACAAGCTCTTTCGGTGCCTCCCGGGCAGCCGGCGAGCTGGAGCTTTGCGCTCTGCAGCAGGACCGTCTCCCCGTCTCCTCGCCAGCATGAGCCGCGCCGGACCTGCCGGCCGCTCCCCACGAATGGCCACGTCCCCAAGCCTCGCTCTTGGGGTTCTCGGGGACACAGGCAGCTCGTGACCCCGGCTCCGGAGCCAGGCCCCCCCCCACACCCCCCAGGCTCCCGTCTCCCCGGCTGGAGCTGCGTGCTGTTCTCCGTCCGTCCGTCCGTCCGGGCTGCCTGCGCCCACCACCTGTGCGGGCCGTGGGCACCCGCGGGCACCCGCTTCCGGGGGCCAGGAAGTTAGAAAAACAGCCGCAGGGGAGCTGCGGCTTTCAGATCAGCCTCTGCGTCTCCGCGGGAACCCCCGGGGCCTCCTCCGAAGCACTCGCCAGCTCGGCCGCCCCGTCCGGCCGTCCAGCCGTCCGGCCGTCCGCCCACCGGCTGGCCGGCCGGTCGCCATGGACAACGGGTCGTGCTGCCTCCTGCAGGGGGACCCCATGGCACAGGTGATGCCGCCGCTGCTGATCCTGTTCTTCGTGCTGGGCGCGCTGGGCAACGGGCTGGCCCTGTGCGGCTTCTGCTTCTCCCTGAAGACCTGGAAGCCCAGCACCATCTACCTGTTCAACCTGGCGGTGGCCGACTTCCTGCTCATGGTGTGCCTGCCCTTCCGCACCGACTACTACCGGCGGGACCGGCGCTGGGCCTTCGGGGACGCGCCGTGCCGGCTGGTGCTGTTCATGCTGGCCCTGAACCGGGCGGGCAGCATCGTCTTCCTCACGCTGGTGGCTGTGGACCGCTACTTCAAGGTGGTGCACCCGCACCACGCGGCCAACGCCGTGTCCAAGCGCGGGGCGGCCGGCCTGGCCCTCGGGCTCTGGGCGGCCGTGCTGCTGGGCACGCTGCACCTGCTCACCGAGGACCACCGGTGCACGGCGCCCGGCGGGCCGCCCGCGCCCTCCTGCGAGAGCTTCATCATGGAGTCGGCCAACGGCTGGCACGACATCATGTTCCAGCTGGAGTTCTTCCTGCCGCTGGGCGCCATCCTCTTCTGCTCGGGCCGCGTGGTGTGGAGCCTGCGGCGGCGGCGGCGGCTGGCCCGGCAGGCCCGGCTGCGCAGGGCCACGCGCCTCATCGGCGTGGTGGCCGCGGTCTTCGTCACCTGCTACCTGCCCAGCGTGGCGGCCCGCCTCTACTTCCTGTGCACCGTGCCCGCCAGCGCCTGCCACCCCGCCGTGCACGCCGCCCTGCACGTCACGCTGAGCCTCACCTACATGAACAGCGTGCTGGACCCGCTGGTGTACTGCTTCTCCAGCCCGGCCTTCCCCCGCCTCTGGGCGCGGCTCAAGGTGCCCGGCCTGCGGGCGCCGAGGCGCGAGGAGCTGCCCATCGCGCGCCTCTGCCGCCAGGGCGGCGCCGCCGCGGCCAGCAGTGGGCAGAGCCGGCCCTGCGGGCCCTGAGCCGGCACCCGGGCGGGCGGACAGAAGGGCAGACAGACAGACGGGCGGGCGGACGGACGGGCGAACAAAAAAGGATGAATTCCAGCCAAGGGGGTAAGGGGCTTTGGAAGGGCCGCATGCCCCTCGCTCCGCTGGAGACGCAGTGCACAGGCTGCTGGGTGTGTGTGTGTGTGTGTGTGTTCGGAGGGTCCCGGCCCGCTGAGCAGGGAGTGGGGTTGTGTTCGTGTCATGGGACGGCAGTGACAGGACATTGTGTGTGTGCTAGGTGGAGGGTGTGTGTGTGTGTGTGTGTGTGCTAGGTGGAGGGGTGTGTGTGTGTGTGTGTGCTAGGTGGAGGGGGGTGTGTGTGTGTGTGCTAGGTGGAGGGTGTGTGTGTGTGTGTGCTAGGTGGAGGGTGTGTGTGTGTGTGTGTGTGTGTGTGCTAGGTGGAGGGGTGTGTGGGTGTGTGTGTGTGTGTGTGCTAGGTGGAGGGGTGTGTGTGTGTGTGTGTGTGTGTGCTAGGTGGAGGGGTGTGTGTGTGTGTGTGTGTGTGTGCTAGGTGGAGGGGTGTGTGTGTGTGTGTGTGCTAGGTGGAGGGTGTGTGTGTGTGTGTGTGTGCTAGGTGGAGGGTGTGTGTGTGTGTGTGTGTGTGCTAGGTGGAGGGTGTGTGTGTGTGTGTGTGTGCTAAGTGGAGGGTGTGTGTGTGTGTGTGTGTGTGCTAGGTGGAGGGTGTGTGTGTGTGTGCTAGGTGGAGGGTGTGTGTGTGTGTGTGTGTGCTAGGTGGAGGGTGTGTGTGTGTGTGTGTGTGCTAGGTGGAGGGTGTGTGTGTGTGTGTGTGTGTGTGCTAGGTGGAGGGGTGTGTGTGTGTGTGTGTGTGTGCTAGGTGGAGGGGTGTGTGTGTGTGTGTGTGTGTGCTAGGTGGAGGGTGTGTGTGTGTGTGTGTGTGTGTGCTAGGTGGAGGGTGTGTGTGTGTGTGCTAGGTGGAGGGTGTGTGTGTGTGTGTGTGTGCTAGGTGGAGGGGTGTGTGTGTGTGTGTGTGTGTGGTTGGGGGAGGTTAGGAAGAGCTTGGCTCCCGTTCATTTTAATCGGCTGAGGAGACAGGCACAGTGTTTGAACCTGTCCCGCTCTCTCTCTCCCCCGGGAGGTGGTGAACTTGGTGACTCGTCAGTATTTCCTTTCCTTTGCCCTGAGACCCTCCCTCGCCTTGGAGAGGGAAGCTGGGCTGAGGCAGGGCCTCTCGTGGGGCTGAGCGGGCTCTGCAGCCTGGAATGTCTGTTTGTGTGCAGTTCATCTTCACGGGAGAGGGGAGGGGAGAGGAGGGAGGGGAGAGGGAGAGGGAGGGACCCTCGTTCATTTCTCAGAAGCCCGAGAGGAACTGTCAGCCACCCGCTCGGGCCTCCTGGAGGAACTGTCAGGCCCCATCTTTTCTGCAGCCTTTGCCTTTCCAAGGACAGGCTGCGGGGTGGGGCTGGGGGGAGCTCAGTGCCTGAAGGAAAGCCCGTTGGGTGTGCAGGAGGGAGCGGATGGATGTTTCTCTCTCATCGGTGTTTCTAACGCTCTCTCCCTCTCCCTTCCTCTCTGTAAAAAAACAATAAAAATATATTTTAAAAAATAAAAGAAGAAAAGCCCATTGGCTTTGGGGGTGCCAAGTGCGGTGGAGCTGCCTCTGCCTGTGTGAGTGACAGTTGAAGTTATTCGTTCGCTCTCCGGTATTTGCTGAATTCACATTCTGTGCCAGGCGCCCAGCCGTGTCCCTTTTCCCTGGAAGGTCGTTAGTCCCCTCCAATGGGACAGCAAGGGTTTGGGGGGGGGGCAGGGGGAGGCAGAGCGGTTAACGGCGCTCAGCCTGCCAGTGCCGTCTGCAGCCGGTGGCTGCAAGCAGCAGGGCTTTCCCCTCACGGGGGTGGGGCGGGGCTCAGTGGCCCCCATACACGCGTGGCCCCCACATCCAGGCGATGCTACGACACGACGGCTGTCCGCCCGGGACCGACCCCCAGCCAACCTCACGCTCCGGCATCTTCACCCGGTCCTCAGGCTCCCGGCTCCTCGCCGCCCCGAGGGACCTTCCTCACCAGAGCTCTGTTCTCCGGCCTCCAGACAGCCCTGCGAGGAGGCGGAAGGAATCAAAGCGTGAATCCCAACGCAACCACTTGCGAGAGGTGTGACGTGGGGGCAGATTTTACTTAACCACTTTCTGCTTTCATTTAACCCCCCCCCGCCCCCCACGGGGGTGACGATGGCATGATACTGGGTTCAATGGTCACTGGGCAGATTCAACAAATGTAAGACCCAGAGCCGGTTTCAGCCTGATCCCCCCTGGGGCCTTAGCTCACGGTTAGAGTCCCCGCGCTTAGCTCCGTGACCGCACATAGTAGCTGGTCAGTGAATATCTGGGTGAATAAGGTGCTTGGAAAACAGGAAGCACAGTGTGGGGCAGTCAGGATTCAATACTACGGCTGTTTATGTTAACACTGGAGGCCCTGGGCCTGGCCTGCGCCCTCTCACAATCCGGCACCCCTGGGAGGACATGGGAGAGCCGGTGCAGCCTGATCCCGCAGGCCAGGCCGAGGGACCCCACAGGGGCACGGGGAGGAGCGGCTGTTGTGCAACAGGCCTCTCGTGTGCACGTAAGACCTTCGGTTAACCTCTTCCTGCCCTCCCCTCTCCCCGCTGCCCTCCGAGGTCCATCAGACTGTTCCATGTTTCCATGCCTGTGCGTCGAGCATCCGCCCCCTGGTGGTCATTGTGTGTCATAGCCACCGGTCAAACTGTTGAACTGTCTGCTGGTTGCTTAGGGTTTTATATATATATAGATACTTTAACATAAAGAGAGGGAGGCACGTAAGTCATTTCCTTCGGGGTTCAGAGCCCCCCTAAGTAGCTGCTACACGGCCACCTCCAGAATCCCCGCTCCCAGCCACCTGGGGAGGAGTGAAGGCCAGGAGTCCTATCAGCATCAAAGAACCATACACCCCGCCTGATAGGGATTTGTGAAAACCCACACTTCTGCTTTTTTTTTTTTTTTTTTAAATACATTTTATTGATTTTTCACAGAGAGGAAGAGAAAGGGATAGAGAGCTAGAAACATCAATGAGAGAGAATCATCGATCAGCTGCCTCCTGCACACCCCCCACTGGGGATGTGCCCGCAACCAAGGTACATGCCCTTGACGGGAATCGAACCCGGGGCCTTTCAGTCCCCAGGCCGACGCTCTATCCACTGAGCCAGACCGGTTTCGACCACACTTCTGCTTTTAAGCCTATTCTTAGTTCCCATCCTCTCCCGGGCTGCTCCACGATCGCTTCACGTCAGTAAAAATAGGTTCCTGAAGCACGCTCTGTGTGCCTGACGCTATGTTCAACGGCTCATGCGATTTTACCCTCCACAGGGGAAAAAAGTCTAAACAATTCAAAAGCTCACCGCGGGCAGGGGTTCTCACTGCACCACAGCGAGAGCAAATAGAAGAACAATCAAACAAAAGCCCAAAGGCAGACTCGACTCCAATTTTGCTCCCCTTTTTAAGTTGAGAGAATGTGACGAAAACCAAATCTCATCAGGAGACGTTCTTCAGCCCTCCATGGTTTGGCTCAGCGGATAGAGCGTCGGCCTGCGATTCAAGGGTCCCAGGTTCGATTCCGGTCAAGGGCATGTACCTTGGTTGCGGGCACATCCCCAGTAGGGGGTGTGCAGGAGGCAGCTTGATTGATGTTTCTCTCTCATCGATGTTTCTAACTATCCCTCTCCCTTCCTCTCTGTACTAGTAAAAAAAATCAATAAAATGTATTAAGAAAAAAAAATAGCAGCCAGGTAAAAAGCAGGGGAAAAAGTGTTCAAAAGGGAGCCGGCCTAAATAGCATTGTCCTGATATATTAAAGTTGTGGTTTCAATCTTTAGTTGGGACACACACAAGAATCAACCAGTGAGCCGAAAGGGCATGTACCTTGGTTGCAGGCACATCCCCGGTAGGGGGCTGTGCAGGAGGCAGCTGATCGATGATTCTCTCTCATCGATATTTCTAACTCTCTATCCCTCAACCTTCCTCTCTGTAAAAAGTCAATAAAATATATCTTAAAAAAAAAAAAAGAAAGAAAGAAAGAAAGAAAAGAAACGTTCTTCAGGCCCTGACTCAGCTGGTTAGAGTGTTGTCCTGATTCCCCAAGGTTGTGGGTTCGATCCCAGGTCAGGGTACATACATGAATCAACCAATGAATGCAGAGATATGTCTATCAATCTCTTCTCTTTTCTTCTCACTCTCTCTCTCTCTCTCTCTCTCTCTCTCTCGTCCCCTCTCTCTCTCTCTCTCTCATAAAAAATAAAAAAGTTCTTCAGAAATCGAAAGGAAGGGGAGGATACTTTGCTGACAGACGGTTTAAACTACCTGGAATAGGGAAATGTGATCGACTTAGAAGAAACTCTGTTCCTCTTTCTTGGGGTCTTTCAGGAAGTCCCACAAACGCTAGAATGAATGTTAGATCATATGTTCTACGGAAACTGTGTGGAAACAACAAAAGGTGCCTTTTACTGGTGCCGACAGTGCAAAAACCATCCAGTTCTGGTCTGTTCTCAGAAAGGCCTGCCTTACCCTTCAGTAAAAGCGAAAGGATTAAAAATAGACTTTAAAACAGAGCTTATCACAAGAGACATCGGACACAGCCATTCCACTTTCTGGGCTTTTATCAAAGAAACCTAACACCTTGAAAAGACAGATGCATCCCAGCGTGATTGACAATAGCCAAGATAGGGAAGCAGCCTAAGTATCCGTCAACAGATGAACGGATGGATAGAGAAGTGGGCACATAGACCGTGGACTAGGAAGAACAGCCATAACAAAGAATGAAACCCCGCCATCTGCAGCCACATGGGTGGACCGGGAGGCCATTGTGCCCAGCGCACTAAGTCAGACAGAGACAAAGCCCGATGGTCTCACGTACGTGTGGAATCTAAAAACCCAAACAAACATGCAGGACAGAAACAGACTCGTAGATACTGAGGACATTTTAACGGTTGCCAAGTGGGAGGGGGGATGGAGGAATGGGTGGAAAGGGTGAAAGAATTAAGAAGTACAAATTGGAGCCCTGGCTGGTGGCTCAATCGTTAGGGCATCAGCCTGAGGACTGAAGGGAAGGGTCTCGGGTTTGATTCCCAGCTCAGGGCACGCACCTCGGTTGCAGGCTCGATCCCCAGATGAGGGCGCATGCAAGAGGCAACCGTTAATCAATGTGTCTCTCTCACATCCACGTCTCTCTCTCTCACCCTCCTCCCTCCCTTCCACTCTTTCTAAAAATCAGTGGAAAATGGCTTCAGGTACAGATTTTTTTGTTTGTTTGTTTAAAGTACAAATTGGTGG